AGGTTGGATGACAAACTTGATAGCAGAGACTTGCAGAAATGGCAAAACTGGGTTTCAGATCTGTCACAGTTGAAATCAATATTCGTACCGAGGTGTTTCAAGCCTGTTGGGTTTGGAAGGGTGACTTTGTGCCAAATCCATCATTTTTCAGATGCAAGTGAAAAAGGTTATAGAACGGTTTCATATCTTCGGTTCATAAATGGAAAGGGAATGGTCCACTGTGCACTTCTAATGGGCAAAGCCAGAGTGGCACCGTTGAAAAAGGTCACCATACCACGCATGGAGTTGACGGCCACTGCTATTTCTGTACGTATGGATAAAATAATCAAAACAGAGCTTGAGTATGATATAGATGAAATGTTCTTTTGGACTGACAGTTTGTCAGTCATCAGGTACTGTGCTAATGAAACAACTCGTTTCCATACATTTGTAGCAAACCGTATCAATCTGATTCGTGAAGGGTCACAATTGTCACAATGGAGATATGTAGATACGAAATCCAATCCAGCTGATGACTCATCCAGAGGTCTCCTTGTTGATGATACCTTGCGAACGAAGAGATGGTTGAATGGTCCTCAATTCCTTTGGAAATCAGAAACGGAATGGCCTAGAGATGAAACCGTGTCTATGGTTATCCCCGATGGGGACCCCGAGGTCAAGAAACAGATGCATTCTTTGATTGTCAACAAGCAGTTTGGTACGGACAGGCTGTTATCACACTTTCACTTTTCGAACTGGAGGAAACTGAAGATAACTGTTGGTTGGTTGTTAGTGGGTAAAAGGAATCTTCAGCGATTGGTTGGCATACGCAAGGTATTAAAGAAGAGCCTCAGTGGTACTGGAAATGATTTAGATGAGCAGGACACAACTATCAACGACAAGATGGAAAGACTGATGATGATGTCACAGTCTGACTCAAAGAAAGGTTTAAAACTCACACCTGTTACAGTGGAAATATTAAGAAGAGCAGAACAAGCAATAATCTCATATGTTCAACGTCAGTGCTTTCCTGAAGAAATTGAAGCATTGACGTACAACACCAGACTAAAACGCTCAAGTCGTTTGTATAAATTGGATCCTATTATGAGGGATGGGCTCATACAAGTTGGAGGACGCCTGGAGCGTGCCAGATTACCGGATAGCATGAAACATCATGTTGTGCTACCAAAGGATACCCCAATATCACATCTTAGAAGACATTCACAAGTCAGTGGGGCATCTAGGCAGAAATGCAATGCTAAGTAAGTTGCGAGAGAGATATTGGATCTTGTGTGCGAATACGGCAATAAGACAGATCGTGTGAAATGTGTTGTTTGCCAACGCTACC